AGCTATTTTTACGGGGCGAATACCATAATCGAATGAAAAATTAGAAGGAATGTGCAATTGCGGAAATGAGGGATAGGGGACGCAATTTATTTCCCATATTTTTTTTTGCTTTGATCTTTTCACTATTTTAACCTCAAAATTAGAATCTACGGAAAAAAATACATAAAAAATGTTCTGCTTATAAAATGGTCTACGACCACTCGTTTTCAAGATAAATAATACTAAGTAAAATACTGCACACAAACATGTGTATTAAGCTATCACTAAAAATCTTAATAGGCTTCTTTCATTTGTTTGATTTAAGCTGTCAAATGGGTGATAAAAAATTACTTCGTACATTGTCTACAAAACTGTTATGAAAATCGACATATTTTTTTACGTACAATTAAAAGGTGCAATAAAAACTATAGCATTCCATTTAAAATAATGAAGTTATGGTCTACTTCCGGTAGACCGGAAGTGGTAGCCATCTTGAAAATATTTTAAATCGAAAGTTCCGACTGAACAATCCATACTACCAAAATTTCAAAACTGTACGAATACTGGAACCTAAAAAAGTTCTAACGAACCAGTTACGTGAGATACCTAGAGTTACATAATGAGCACCCTGTATATATATCAGTATACAGAGCCATCTAGTAACAATATCAAAATTTTTTATTAAAATAATCGATTATAAATTATATTTTAAACAAATTTTATCTGAAATAATTTTTGATAAAATTAAATTTTCATCGTACTATTCACAGGGAAATTATAGGTTCTATAATTTCGATTTTTCGAAAAAAATGTTTTAATGAAAGTTGTTACTGGCTCGATTCTAAATAAGATTTGTTAGAAAAAAATTTTGATTCAAACAATAATTATTAAGATAACCTCAAAAAAATGTTATACAGGGCGTGTCAAATGTCTGGAATATAGCCAATAATTTCGCCATTTGTGGTTTTAAAGAAAAATGTTTCAAATACAAGTTTCTTTATTAATCATGGCGCATTTTTTGGCGATACTTGCTTGTTTGTATTGTTTTTTGTTTCGTTGCTATGGCAACCAATATTGTTATTTTAAATGGGATGCATACCGGGTGTCCCTCAAAAGTGGCTCACCCCCATATTTTTCTTTATTATTGGTGATATAAGAAAACCATTTGGAATGCATAGTTAGGTCGCTAAAACGGATTATTACGACATGAAATCATTCTTTTTGTACTTCCGGTTATACCGGANTTTGAAAATTTTTTTGATTCAAACAATAATTATTAAGATAACCTCAATAAAATTTTATATACAGGGTGCCCATTATGTATGGAAATAGTATATATCTTGGTAGGTATCAACTTTATAAAAAAACATTTTATACAAAAGTTGTTTAATATTTTATTTGCCATAATAAGACAGCATTCAATTGTTTTTATTTCAGAAAACAACTGAGCAACGAATAACACTTGAAGTTTTTTAAATGGCAACGTACCTTTTCGTTAGGTTCATTTGATAGATTTTTTTTCTCTTTACGATGACGTAAAATTTTAGTACCTTTACATAAGAAAATTTTTCAAAAAAATTTAATAATTGTTTATTAAGAAAATTTAACTAATAACATTAATCTAGATATTCGAGATCGTCAAGTACCTCGAAGTACCTCTAATTATTGAAGATTTACACTAATTTTTCGTATTTGTTTTATTTTGTATGTAAATTTAATTTACTGTAATAATTCGAGGTAATTGACGATCTCGAATATCTAGATTAATGTTATTGATTAATTTTTATTAATAAAATTTGTTTTTATTAATTAAAATTTGATTATTTTTTTCAAAAATGTTCTGATGTAAGGGTACAAAGATTTTACGTTTCTTTACTTCTCAGATTACTCTTCAGATGTTGTCAAATAGATTGTCATTTGTTGTATTGGAGTATCTTATACAGGGTGGTCAAAAATTGAATTACTGTTTCTCCATATTCAATGACGAGAAAGTCGAAAATTTTAAATGGAACGCCCCATATTTTTTTAGTCTATCAGAAAGAGAATTTAATTCGCTACAAATTACCTATAAACATTCCCATATCTATTTATTGTAGTTTGCCTCATATTGCGAAATTTATTAAAACATGCACGAAATGCAGGTTTTTTTATTAGAAAGCTAAGGAATTTTGACAATTTTTGGTCCATGTTTGTATTATTGTTGTCATTAGTTACATTTGACGACGGGTGTAAGTCATTGAACATCATGGTAAATAATGATGATAAAATTTCCTGCATATTTTGATAAATTTAAGAATATGAGAGAAACTACAATAAATAGGTATAGGAATGTTTATAGATAAATTGTTGAAAATTGAATTCCCTTTCGTGTAGGCTAATAAAATATGAGGCGTTCCATTTAAAATTTTCGACTTTCTCCCCATTGAATATGGAGAAACGATAATTAAATTTTTGACCACCCTGTATAAAATACTCTGATACAATATAATATATGACAACCTATTTGAGAGCATCTGAAGAGTAATCGTGGCAATTTAGAGCTTTTTTGAATGAACGTTGGCTGGGATATAGGGTTTTAAAGAGCATGGTGAAATTTGCCAAAAAAAGCTTAAAACCAAAATAACTCGAAAACGAAAAACGCTAGGTACCAATAACCTTTATGAAAGTCGACATATTTTTTTACGTACAATTAAAAGGTGCAATAAAAACTATAGCATTCCATTTAAAATAACGAAGTTATGGTCTACTTCCGGTAGACTGGAAGTGGCAGCCATCTTGAAAATATTTTAGATCGAAAGTTCCGACTGAACAACCCATACTACCAAAATTTCAAAACTGTACGAATACTGGAACCTAAAAAAGTTCTAACGAACCACATAGAGAGTTACATAATGGGCAACCTGTATATATATATTAGTATACAGAGCCATCTAGTAACCATATCAAAATTTTTTATTAAAATAATCGATTGTAAATCAGATTCTAAACAAATTTTATCTGAAACAATTTTTGATAAAATTAAATTTTCATCGTACTATTCACAGGGAAATTATAGATTTTATGTATAATTTCAACTATTCGAAAAAAATATTTTAATGAAAGTTGTTACTGGCTCGATTCTAATTAAGATTTGTTCGAAAAATTTTTTGATTCAAACAATAATTATTAAGATAACCTCAAAAAAATGTTATACAGGGTGTCAAATGTCTGGAATATAGCCAATAATTTCGCCATTTGTGGTTTTAAAGAAAAATGTTTCAAATACAAGTTTCTTTATTAATGATTGTTGAAACTGTAATTTTTTTGACATTTAAAGCTGTCAGCGGTGTTATTTCGGCGCCTACTTTGATTGTAATTAGCTGATTCAAAGACTTTCAAAAAACGCAATTTTTCTCGATTTTTTTCGTATACAATCATATGATTTGATATGTTTATTGCAAAGAGGAACTTATCCTCTATCAAAGTATGCAAAAAAAATATATGCATCCGATTTAAAATAACAATATTGGTTGCCATAGCAACGAAAAAAAAACAATGCAAACAAGCAAATATCGCCAAAAAATGTGCCACAGTTAATAAAGAGTTTTTTATTTGAAACATTTTTCTTTAAAACCACAAATGGCGCAGTTATTAGCTATATTCCAGACACATGACACACCCTGTATATATGTGTATATATCAGTATATATCTAGTAACTATATCAATTTTTTTTATTAAAATAATCGATTATAAATCATATTCTAAATAAATTTTATCTGAAACAATTTTTGATAAAATTAAATTTTTTTCATCGTACTGTTCACAGGGAAATATAAGATTTTATAATTTCGATTATTCGAAAAAAATTTTTTAATGAAAGTTGTTACTGGCCCGTTTCTAAATAAGATTTGTTCGAAAAATTTTTTGATTCAAACAATAATTATTAAGATAACCTCAAAAAAATACATTTTATATACAGGGTGTATCTGAATGACGTGCCCAAACTTCAGGGGGTGATTCTTTAGGTAATTTTAAGGGTACTTTCTTATATAAACTATCAGCGATTTCGACTCCCCTGCGGATCTAGGCCCCTTCAAAAATGGCGAAAAATTTTGGTTTATTTTATTTTTCCCGAAAACCATTAACACCAAGAAAATGAAATTTGGGAAATATGTTTAGCTTATAATAGGGCATGTTTCGAGCCTATTTGTACTTTCAATCTTCCCTTCTAAGTTACTAAACATAACCACCCCCTTTCAATTTTTGTCTAGATCTTTTTTATGACGATGATAAATACATTGGAAATATTTTATTTTGATAGACGAAAATATTCTAAAACTTTTTTGCCTCTCTGATGTTCTTCGAAAAGTTAATAGTTTCTGAGAAAAAAATTAATTAAGCAAACACTAACTGTTAAGCTGTAGCGTTGTTAATCGAAAGTTAGAATGAATTTTTAAAGAAAAAATCTTAGCAGGCTTAGCAATCTTTGTCAGAAATATTTTTGACGTTTAAATGTCAGTGGTTTTCTTACTATTATTATTGTTTTATTTAAAATATTGAAACGTCGAGTGAACGAGCGTAAATGCGGTAGAACTTTATTCATAAATTAATTTGAAAAACAATAATAATAGTAAGAAAACCACTGACATTTAAACGTCAAAAATATTTCTGACAAAGATTGCAAAGCCTACTAAGATTTTTTCATTAAAAATTCATTCCAACTTTTGATCGACAACCCCGTTGTTGAACGGGCAGTGTTTGCTTTATNAAATTAGTACTCACATCCGGTGTAACCGGAAGTACAAAAAGCATGATTTCATGTCGTAATAATCCGTTTTAGCGACCTAATTAGGCATTCCAAATGGTTTTCTTATATCACCAATAATAAAGAAAAATATGGGGGTGAGCCACTTTTGAGGGAAACCCGGTATATTTTTTGACATTCAAAGCTGTCAACGGTGTTATTTCGGCGCCTACTTTAATTGTAATTTGTTGATTTAAGACTTTCAAAAAACGCATTTTTGAAACGCAAAAAATGCATCCCATTTAAAATAACAATATTGGTTGCCATAGGAACGAAACAAAGAACAATGTAAACAAGCAAGTATCACCAAAAAATGCGCCACAATTAATAAAGAGTTTTTTATTTGAAACATTTTTCTTTAAAACCACAAATGGCGAAGTTATTAGCTATATTCCAGACATTTGACACACCCTGTATATATGTGTATATATTAGTATACAGCGCTATCTAGTAACCATATCAATTTTTTTTATTAAAATAATACATTATAAATCATATTCTAAACAAATTTTATCTGAAACAATTTTTGATAAAATTAAATTTTTTTCATCGTACTATTCACAGGGAAATTTAAGATTTTATAATTTCGATTATTCGAAAAAAATGTTTTAATGAAAGTTGTTACTGGCTCGATTCTAAATAAGATTTGTTTGAAAAATTTTTTGATTCAAACAATAATTATTAAGATAACCTCAAAAAAATGTTATATATATGATATATATCGGTATACAGCGCCATCTAGTAACCATATCAAAATTTTTTATTAAAATAATCGATTATAAATCATATTCTAAACAAATTTTATCTGAAACAATTTTTGATAAAATTGAATTTTTTTTCATCGTACTATTCACAGGGAAATTTAAGATTTTATAATTTCGATTATTCGAAAAAAATGTTTTAATGAAAGTTGTTACTGGCTCGATTCTAAATAAAATTTGTTCGAAAAATTTTTTGATTCAAACAATAATTATTAAAATAGCCCCAAAAAAATACATTTTATGTCAATATATCGTTTAGAAATCGTATTATAAACAAAATTTATTTGAAACATTTTGCGATTGTTATAAAAACATATATATTTACCATCAACTTTCAATAAAGCAGTTGCACTTTCCCGAACACCAGCAGTATTCCTAGCAACACATTGATATCTCCCATCATCACTCGGTTTCGTATCGGTTATTGCCAAATTCGAGCCGTCGACGATCCGAAATCGACCATCGGTTTCAATGGTGTGCCCATCCTTCCTCCAGGTTATTTGAGGTTCTGGGGTTCCCCTGGGAGGGCCGCACTCCAACACCACATCCTTTCCGGCCACAACGCGCGTACTTTGCGGTTCGAGCCGGAAGTCTTCTCGAAGCACTAAAATAAAATTTTAATTTTAAGTAAATAATTTTTTCGGGGGGAAAAATCTCAAAGTAGTTTTTCAAAACAAAAAAGGCGAAATGGGGTATATGAAGGGATTTTTTTGGGATTCTCCCGGTTGGGGCGGTTTGTTGTTTATTTACGGGCGGGATTTTCAATTTAAGCGCTCCGCTTTTTTACGTTGAATTCCAGGACCTATTGTGACAGGACTATTGTGCACCGCAAAGAGGATAACGGGCCATTTACCGGGGAATTTGGGGGAAAAGAGGGGAGCAAAGAGGGTTTAGGATAAGGGCCGGTCGTTACGGATATTGAAATATTAACCCGCCGAGTTTACGTTGGATTATAAAAGCGAGAGGCTTTGGTTCTTTGCCAGGGAAGAGTAAATGGGTTGGTTATTGGAGTTGTTTGTTTTCCATAAACGACAAACATTAAAACATCGAAATATTTAGGTTCTTGTTTTTTCTTTTTTTTGTTTCGATTATACTTGAGTTTTCTTTTGATCCACAACGTAATTTTCCGCCTCGGTTTTTAAAGAACACACACAAAGAGAAACCGTGCGAAGAAACACATGTGCGTCTTTCGTTTCAGGAACCACCTGAGTCCAAAGTTTCGCCCCCTTACCCATCGTAAACCCCCAGCGCCCTAAAGATCATCATCATTAACCTCCCCCAACGCAGAAAACCTAAGGACAACCCAAACAGTAAGAAAACCACCTTAATTCTTTCGCGTTTTTGCACTCATAGCTTACAAAGGGGCCAATTATGGAGATCCTCCCGGGTTCGGTAAACAGTCGGGTGTTTTTTTTGAAGGGGTAAATTAAGGGCGGGGGGTAATTAAAGAAAAACCCAGACCGGGTCCATGCTGACTCACAAAGAGTCGAATTTCGAAACTGTACACCGGGGGTTTTAATTGCTGCGTGCCCTTTTGTTATTCCAGCAACGTGCGGGGATCGGACGAAAGCGTAATCCTCGCATATTAACAGTGTCAGAGTACCTTTATGTAGTACCTAATTTAACGGGGATTATGCCGTTCGTTCCAAATGAAAGAAAAATTGCTCCAGCAACAAATCATTGTGTTCATGAGCATCTTATTAAAAATAAACCCCACAAAATTAATTAAAAAAATAAATAAAATAAATAAAGCGTTATTCGTACTCGTTTTAATCAGAATTTATTGCGATTTATTTTACGCCCGAAAAGGACGCTATTTATGTCAGTCCCGTCACGTACCCGTTTTGCTGTTGTTGACAGTCCTATTTTATATAAAACTCAAAAAAGGGGTACTAAATTTCATTAAAATGTACCCTGGAAAATTCAAATTTCATTGTGCTACAATAAAATTAATTGAGACTAAAGTTTTACGTATCGTTAAAACGAGATAATCTCATCAGCTTAAACTGAGTGATTTGTAACGGAATACTCTAGGTATTAGTCCCTATCAACAGATGGCAGCCGACGTTTGATTGATCCCTAGGACAATGAGTTGAGTGGACGACCTATTATACGAACGAAGTGCCTCGTAAACGCATTACGCACATCAAACGTTCGCCATTGTACCAGGCCGTTGCCTTTACACAAACTAGCCGTAACGCGATTAAACCGCGAATCAAATCACGTTTCACTTTGTATAAAAATTCCAATTTGTTGATTAACCCTCTCTCTGTTTTGTATTTTATCCCGATTTTATGTGCAATTAAAAATATATAAACGACGAGTGATGTTAAATTCAAAAATTTGTTGTTAGGTATATTAAGGTAATTATCGAAAATTCGAAACAAAAACGAAATTCATTAACTAAATTGATTGCTGATTTAATTTTAAATCAATTTTTTTGATACAAATAATAATTAATGAGATTATCTCAAAAAATGAATTTTTATATCAGTGTACAGCGCCATCTAGTAACTATATTAAATTTTTTTATTAAAATAATCGATTATAAATCATATTTTAAACAAGTTTTATCTGAAACAATTTTTGATAAAATTGAATTTTCATCGTACTATTCACAGGGAAATTATAGATTCTATGTATAATTTCAATTATTCGAAAAAAATGTTTTAATTAAAATTGTTACTGACTCGATTCTAAATAAGATTTATTCGAAAAATTTTTTAATTCAAACGATAATTATTAAAATAAAATCAAAAAAATGTTATATATATGTATATATATTGGTATACAGCGCCATCTAGTAAACATATCAAATTTTTTTATTAAAATAATCGATTATAAATTGTATTTTAAACAAATTTCATCTGAAACAATTTTTGATAAAATTGAATTTTCATCGTACTATTCACAGGGAAATTATAGATTCTATAATTTCAATTTTTCGAAAAAAATGTTTTAATGAAAGTTGTTACTGACTCGATTCTAAATAAGATTTATTCGAAAAAAATTTTAATTCAAACGATAATTATTAAGATAACCTAAAAAAATGTTATATATATGTATATATATCAGTATACAGCNGAAAAAACGAAATTGTTTGAGATGTTTGAGACAATAAAAAAGAGTTGTTTGAAAACTTTAGGGGAAACACACAATAAAAGAATTTAAACGAATTTCCGAAAGAAAATTCTATTAAGGGACCAGCACATTAAACCTTATTACTATTAAAAGGTCGAAAGAGGAAATTAAAAACAACTTCTATGTAACGGGCGAGAGATGTAGTATAAATATTTAAGACGTTCCCGAGGTCTTATGGCTCTTATAACGTTTCTAAAGTTTCTAGGACGACGGCCTCGAGGACCAGACGTCATTTCACCCCGTATTTGCGCTTTGCTGTTGACACAGGCGCTGCGAAAGGCCAAGCCGACCGCCCCTCCGGATGGCAAACATTTGCACCTTCTTCTAAGTAGGTTACGCGTTTCTTGGCTACGTTTAACGAGCTCACCCACACTTTCACCCACTTAGAAAAATAATGCAAACAGGATGTAATAAGGAAATAAATTAATAATGTTTCTGGGAATATAAATATCTTTGTAAATGTGGCACAGATGTCGTCGTAGCCGGTAAAACAAGGAAATTCGCCTTTTATAATCCCTAGGTTTTGGGGAATTAACCCTCCAGTTATTATTCAACAGGAAACGGGGGGTTACCTGACCCCTATCTTTTCCCTGAAACTTTAATATGATGTTGGAAAACGGTTGGGTATTAAAAATTCAACATAGGATGTTGAGGGGCTGCGTTTCAGTGCGACATGATTTATTAATCATGAAAATACAAATAAATTTATTTGATAAACTTTGTTTTATAAACATTCAAAAAAAGCCATGAATTTTTTATCGATAACCGTTATGCAAAGTACCAATTTCTCGGTTCATCCGCCAGGTGTCGCAACTCGGATGTCGTCATTTCTGGGCGGAGGAAAAACGGTTCGCTTTTCCTTCATTTCACGCCTGCTTTCCCGTCAGACGTCATTAGGAGACGAACGTGGAGCGCATTTTGCGTTCACTCCAGGGACCTCTTTATGTAAAGAAGATCCCCTCGAATGGGAAAAGAAAATAGGCCGGAAACGAGCTTTTGTTTGATTACTTAATTTTTCCGGAGAAACATTTTCGGATCTTTGTGGTGTTCAATTGGCTGGAAAAGTGGTCTGTGTTACGATTTCATGCTCTAACGCTTACCGGACAAGAATATAAATTTGTTTTAAATTTTTTACCTTGAAAAAACCTGTATATACAGGATGTTATTTTCTCTGCTAAAATTACATTTAAAAGGGATGTATTATACATCAATGGATTCAGAAAAACAATATATGCAACAATTTGAAAAACAAATGCTAATCATAGTATTTATAAAACCATTTCATTTGATACCTGGGTCATGAAAATCGGAATGTAAATAAGAGTTACAGGTTGGGGCGTTTTTTGTGTGACACCCTGTATAAAATTTTTTGAGGTTATCTTAATAATTATTGTTTGAATCAAAAAATTTTTCGAATAAATCATATTTACAAACGAGTTAGTAACAACTTTCATTAAAATAGTTTTTTCGAATAATTGAAATTATACATAGAATCTATAATTTCCCTGTGAATAGTACATGAAAATTCAACTTTATCAAAAATTGTTTCATATAAAATTTGTTTAAAATACAATTTATAATCGATTGTTTTAACAAAAAAAATTGATATGTTTACTAGATGGCGCTGTATACTGATATATATACATATATATAATGATTTTTGAGGTTATCTTAATAATTATTGTTCGAATCAAAAGAATTTTCGAATAAATCTTATTTAGAATCGAGTCAGTAACAACTTTCATTAAAACATTTTTTTCGAAAAATAGAAATTATAGCGAATCTATAATTTCCCTGTGAATAGTACGATGAAATTCAATTTTATCAAAAATTGTTTCAGACAAAATTTNGAAAATTGTTACTGACTCGATTCTAAATAAGATTTATTCGAAAAATTTTTTAATTCAAACGATAATTATTAAAGTAACCTCAAAAAATGTTATATATATGTATAGATATCGGTATACAGCGCCATCTAGTAACCATATCAAAAATTTTTATTAAAATAATCGATTATAAATTGTATTTTAAACAAATTCTATCTGAAACAATTTTTGATAAAATTGAATTTCATCGTACTATTCACAGGGAAATTATAGATTCTCTTAATTTCAATTTTTCGAAAAAAATGTTTTAATGAAAATTGTGACTGACTCGATTCTAAATAAGATTTATTCAACATTTTTTTTGATTCAAACGATAATTATTAAGATAACCTCAAAAACTTATATTGTATTCTAACTAAAAAGAAAAGAAAAAACGAAATTGTTTGAGATGTTTGAGACAATAAAAAAGAGTTGTTTGAAAACTTTAGGGGAAACACACAATAAAAGAATTTAAACGAATTTCCGAAAGAAAATTCTATTAAGGGACCAGCACATTAAACCTTATTACTATTAAAAGGTCGAAAGAGGAAATTAAAAACAACTTCTATGTAACGGGCGAGAGATGTAGTATAAATAT